CGTTTAGAGGTTTAGGGCTTTGAAGAATAACATATTGTAACCATAAATACTTTTATAAATAAATTCATCATGAAAATTTCAGGTTAACTTTTGGTAAAATGGAGATGACTATGCATTTCCTTTCTTTTATAATCCATGTTTACTTTAGGCATGTTTTGCTTTATTTATTCTAAAGTTTATATAATACCTTTATAATTTCAAATAACTTTTTCGTATTTCATAGAAAAATATTTACTAAGAAATTAAGTCAAGAGCCCTCACCTTAATTGATTTAGAACTTTGTTCTGATTATGCTTTTTCTGTGAATTATCGAGTTTTCCTGGGTTCATGTTGTGTTTTGTGCCAGCTAGTTTAAAGATTATTAACAGAGCATCAGTTTTTACTATTTTACATATGAAATGTAATTTTTCGTGGTAATACACAGACAAACTAATTGTCTTGTATTCAGAATACTACTTAGTTACTTAGTCTGTGGAGTATATCTAGTTTGTTTTTTTTTATCTTCAGAATAGCCAGATAAACTAGCTGTTTTGCCTTTGGAATAGTTAAATAAACTAGTAATTTGGTCATTCAAATATCAAGAAAAACTATTTGTCTGGTCTTGAGAATATCCAGACTTCTCAGTTCTTAATGTATTTGTAATACCCAGATAAACTATTTGTCTGGTCTTTAGAATATAAGGATCTACCAGTTCTTCAAGTCTATGGAATACTCAGATAAGTTATTTGTCTGATCTTTGAAATATTGAAACTTTCCAGTTCTTAAGGTTTTCAGTATATCTTTTACGTACAGTTGTTATTTTCTGTGGAATAACTTCACATCTCAGTTATTATAGTCCGTAGAATACTCAGCCATGTCAGTTGTTATTTTCTGTGGAATGTCTATGTACGCTGCTGTTCTTTTCTGTAGAATACACAGACACCCCAATTTTTGTATACTATATTCAGCCATGCCAGTTGTTCTGGTCTGTCGAATGTCTTTTATATACAGTTGTTCTTATCTGTGGAATATGTTGAAATCTTGAAATCCCAGTTATTATAGTTTGTGGAATATCCAGCCATGCCAGTTGTCCTAGTATGTAAAATGTCTTTATATACAGCTGGTATTTTCTGTGAAATACCCTAACATTCCAGTTATTTTATTTTGTGGAATACCCAGCCATGCCATAACTAAATATACCATTTGTTTTTGCCCATGAAATATAGAGACATGACAGTTGTTCTAATACCTGGAATATTTAGATTTGCACTTTTTGCTGCCTAGAAAATACCCAAATATTCAAGATATTATAGCTTGTGGAATACTTGGATATGCTAGTTGTTCTGATCCATGAAATACTTGTTTATAAATAATGTTAGTAATTATATTCTGTGTAATTCCTAGATATGCCAATTATTATAGTTTGTGGAATACCCAGATATGTAGCTGTTCTTGTGTATGGAATACCCAGATATGCTACATATTATAGTTTGTGGAATATCCAGTTGTTCTGATATCCAAAATATTGTATATTCAATATCTAGATATGCCAGTTTTTTTCTGTGGAATATTGAAATGTGTCAGTTGTTTTAATGTCTTGAATACCAGGATATGCCAGTTATTATAGTATATTAAATATCTAAATATACCAGTTATTATAGTATATTAAATACATAGATGTGCTAGTTATTATAGTATATTAAATATCTAAATATACCAGTTATTATAGTATATTAAATACATAGATGTGCTAGTTTTTATAGCATATTAAATACATAGATATGCTAGTCATTATATTACTTTGAATATTAAGATATGCCAGTTATTATGGTACATTGAATACCAAAATATGCCAGTGTAAGAAGACTGGCCAACAATTGCTTTATCATCTCATTTGTATCTTGGGTCAGACATTATTCGAACCAGTCAGTATGGCCTAAAAGGCCCCTGTTAATACAAATACCATCAAAAATGACAAATGCTTTAAGGTGTAATAATTCTCATTATTAAAAACTACCTCTATAAATAAAAACCAAATAGTAGGCTTATAAAATTAATGAACAGGATCCTATATAAACATAGTGACTAAAATTACATGTCATAAATTAATTGGCCAGAAGATTCTTTTAGTTAGGTGTCCTTACAGTCAACATTACTTTTGTTTGTAAGATCATGTTGCAGATGGGTAACAGTTGACTTCAAGAATAACATTGAAATCTTAAAAATATCAATAAATATAGTTATATAACTCATAGAAAAGTAAAGTGTATGACCTGGATTCCACGCTCTTCACACAATTAACTGAAAAAACTTTATATTTTTAAACCTTCAAAACCATTTGAATTCAAGTTCCTTACTTTAGCTCAAATGTTTTGCTTAATTAACAAAGTTCCTTACTTTTTTAACCATCAAAACATTTGTTTAAATTCCATACTTTTAAACTTGCATTTGAGCTCAAGTTCCTTACTTTATTAACTTAAAAAATATTTAAACCTTATTTTGTTAACGTGCAGAACATTTGAATTTAAACTCCTTACTTTAGTTATTACACTCGAGGGTATAGTCATCTAATAAAATAAAAATAATGCTGACATAATAACAATCACTTGCCAGTTTAACTTTACGCTGCAGGTTATCTCGGAAGAAATCCATGAAAGGAACTTTATTGATAGTTACTGTTATGACAGCGGAAGTCACGTGACGCTGGTAACACGTCATGAGATTCTCAAAGAATCTTGACTTTTCCTGGCAACTCTAGTCTTTTCTAGGTGCCCTCTTTTTTAGTATATAAGCCCAGCAAATAAAGCAGAGATATGATTGCAGATAGACAGATATAGAGACAGATAATTGAGTCAAGCGAGTGGTAGTGACTGTAAGTAAAGTTGTGAATCGTTGTGAATTATAGTGTGTGTTTAAGTCAAAGTGATGGTAATATAAAGTGTGTGTTTTGTTTCGAGATTGCAAATGTATTGACTGTGGAAATTGTGTGTATTGCAAAGTTTTATTGAGAAAGAATAAACTAGTTTTATTTAAGAAAGGACTTGTATTGCTGAAGTTCTCTGAGAAGAATTTATACTGGAAATTAACAAACGACCAGAGACGTAACATTACTTTTTTATTTTATTTTATCAAATGACTATACACTTAAGTGTAATAACTAATCACTTACCAGTGTAACTTTTTACTGCAGGTTGTCTCAGAGGAGATCCAAGAGAGGAAATTTGTTGATAGTTTTGATAGCGTCCCGAGAAGTCAGTTTCTACCCTTAGAATTTAATACTATTCCTGTACCTGCCTGTGAAGGACTGACAGGTAAGTCGAGCACAATTTGCTGATATAGAATGAAATATATTTTGAATACCAGCACGTGTAAATGCATTATACAGTTAAATACCTGAAATTGTAATAATAAAAGGACAGTATGTATATTCACCTCTAATAATTAGGACATGGAATAAAATAAGTACTTCTAATAACCAACTAACGGAGTAAAGATGTTTATACTTCTAATAATAAAGATATGGAACAAGAAAATTTGTACTTCTGAAGTAAAATATTTCTATATGTCTAAGAGTAAGATATGCAGAGACTTCTAAAAATTTATAACAAAAAATCTGAATAAGTAATGATTTTAAAAATTGCAATATTTTTCAGTTATTACATTTTTTCTATAGCGGAAGTAATCATGCCATCTGGAAAGTTTGATAAGCCAGTTGTTATTGACAACCATGATGGAACCATCAGTTTGAAGTATGATCCAAAAGAAGAGGGTTCCCATGAACTACAAATTAAATACAACAAGGATCATGTTCCAGGTGACTGCTGTTGTGGTTGTTTATTGTTACAATTGTAGGGTTTTTTTTTTTTTTTTTTTTTTTACACACTTAATCCAATTCCATTTAATTCAAAATG